CCGGGCAGTGTCCCACATTGTCCCTCAGAAACATACCCCTTGTCCCCCCTTGGGCTTCTTAGCAGGTGGTCACCCTAGGCCACAGGTGCGAAAGCTCTCTCTAGAGCTACTGGAAGCCCAATCTCGGGGACCGGAGAAAGTGGAGCAATATTCTCGCCACGCCAAGCAACAGCCTTGAACAACCTCAACCTATACAAGTGACCACGTAAGCCATGCTACTGATGCTGGACAGTTTTTCAGTGGATGCACAATAAACAGCAACATACACATTAATGTAAATAAAAAGCCAAATAATGGATCAACGCTCTCTGTCTAATATGTTCGCTTGCTGTTAGTGTTGTTGCATAGCAACCACCTTGCACTATGTTTTGTGCAGAAGGCAACGGAGGGACTATTTTATTTTGAACATCATTATTTGCTAATACAAACTATTTAAATTAGAGTGTGTATTTTTCTTTCATATTGCCACACTTGGTAACCGTTTTATAAAAGCAACAGCTCACGACAGGCCGTGGTATATGCTCATTATATCACAGCTAAGGGGGTTGTCGACCCTCCGCTTCGCGTCGGGCCGAACCACGCCCCTTAGCTGTGATATAATGAGCATATACCACGGCCTGTCGTGAGCTATTGCTTAAGTAACCCCTTTGTAATCAAACATTTTAATTAGCTAACTCGATTTTTTTTCTCAGTAACATTAACTGATTACAAACTTAATTTGGTTCGACTGGTTCCTCCTTAAAACTGGTCAGGATTTAAACATGTTTTTAAGTTTTCATTGTAAAAGTGTAGCTTCCATTAAAGGGTCAGTGCACACATTGTTTAGCCATATATTTCCCTGACTTACCTCCAGTGGTGTCAATACAATGGAGAATATCATTTAATGATTTATTTTATATATATATTTATACCCTTATTAGTCCCACAGAGGGGAAATGTACATTCTGCATTTGACCCATCCTAGTGGAGCAGTGGGCTGCCATGTGTACGCCGCCCAGGGAACAGTGCCTTGCCCATGGGACACCTCAATAGCACTTGGTCTTACTGGGACTTGAATTGTTGAGCTTCTGGTTCACCAAGTCCCTATGGACTTCACCACCCCCGCCCCAGGTGTGTCTTACCAGAAATGTAGAAATCCAATGAACGATGAATGAACCTGGTTGTGCATTGTAACACCAGAACAATCAATCATGGTATTTGTTGCACCTGATCTTATTTCACTATTTCCATAGGAACTATTTCTTTAGTAGTTCCAATTGAAAACGGTTCGACGTGAAGTGATGGATTTTCCTGACTAATCAAGACATTGTTGTTGTTAAGTTCTTCAAATCTCATCTCACTATAAATTAAATGCCACTCTTTATTGTATTTTTATGGTGACAGGAAGCATTATCTCATAACCTTGTTCAAACTCTAACAGCATTATCATCAGACGTACTTTTTATGATTTGGGGGGAAGAGAACCTTTAATATCATGTCTTGTAAATATGTGAATTTGCACAGAAGTAATGAACAAAATAATTATAGTTAGTGGTATTTGTTTTGTTAATGAAAGGACAAGACCTCCATTTCAAGGTCGACCTTGAGTCAGATTGTGCTTGTGTGTTTTTTTTTTTATGTTGGAGACACTGACACTGTTTTATAGTCAGTGGTCGCTGGGAGACTATAATAAAAAATAAGGGGGATGGACACATATGGAATCAGTGAGGTTTAAACCAGAGTTTGGGAGCACTTCTCCCTCATAGCCATTTCCATCTTGGTGCACAAAACCGTCAAGATGTCATCCGTGGTGAAAGCAAGAGTTCTGGTACATTTCTGTTTTAATAAAGAAGTAATTCATCATGGGGTTTTGGGAAGTGAAAACGTACATATGGTCCATTCTCCCGCTATTATTGTCGTTATGATTGGCCGCCACATGGAGCCAGGCGGCGGGTCTGAAGAGGGACAGGGGGTCGGACGGTAATGGCAGTAACATATTCAGGCCTCCTACTCTGGAATGCAGAGTGAGGGAGAGACACAACACTGCAATTCACTAGCAGAGAATCACTGAACTATTC